CCCCCCTTTTTGCCCCCCCCTCCCCAGCAGCTCCTGGCCCCCGCCGGCACCCTGCACGCCGACAAGAAGCCGCAGGACTCCCGCTTCGGCTACGCCCTGGCTGCCGTGCCCGACCTCAACCACGATGGCCTCAACGACGTGGTGGTGGGGGCTCCTCTGGAGGACGGGCACCGGGGGGCCGTCTACGTCTACCACGGCGCCCCGGGCACCCTCCTGCCCCATTACAAGCAGGTGAGATGGAGCTGGGGAGGGGTAGGGGTGGTGGGTTTCTCCCTGCCCCTTCTGGGGCGCAACCTTATACGAGCCAGCAGAGAAGCCACAGCTCGCCCTGCTCTCCCCTCCCCTCCCCAGCGCATCGAGGGGGCGGCGCTGGGTCCCACCCTCAGTTATTTCGGGCGCAGCCTGGATGGACGGTTGGACATGGATGGGGACGGGCTGGTGGACCTGGCCGTGGGGGCTCAGGGGGCGGCCGTGCTGCTGCGGTGAGTTCCTGGGGACGGGGGGGACACCAAGCTGTGTGGTGGTGTCCATACACCAGAGGGATGGGATGTCATCTCCAAAAGGACCTGGCCAGGCTGGAGAGGTGGGCCCAGGTGAACCTCATGAGGTTCAACAAGAGCAAATGCAAGGTTCTGCACCTGGGCCGGAACAATCCTGGCCACCAATACAAACTGGGGGGTGAGGGATTGGAAAGCAGCCCTGAGGAAAGGGACTTGGGGGTGCTGGTGGAGGAGAAGCTGGACATGAGCAGGCAGTGGGCAGCTGCAGCCCAGAAGGCCAATCCCATCCTGGGCTGCATCAAAAGCTGCGTTGCCAGCAGGTCCAGAGAGGGGATTCTGCCACTTTACTCTGCTCTGGTGAGACCTCACCTGGAGTCTTGTGTGCAGGTCTGGAGCCCTCAATAGAAGAAGGACATGGACCTGATGGAGAGGGTCCAGAGGAGGGCCACGAGGATGATGAGGGGGATGGAGCACCTCTGCTCCGAGGACAGGCTGAGGGAGCTGGGGTTGTTCAGCCTGGAGAAGAGGAGGCTCCGGGGAGACCTAATAGCAGCCTTCCAGTACCTGAGGGGGGCCTACAGGAAGGCTGGGGAGAGCCTGTTTAGAAAGGGCTGCAGTGACAGGACGAGGGGCAATGGCTTCAAGCTGGAGGGGAACAGATTTAGACTGGAGATGAGGAGAGGGTTCTTCACTGGGAGGGTGGTGGAGCACTGGGACAGGTTGCCCAGGGAGGTGGTTGAGGCCCCTTCCCTGGAGATATTCAAGGAGAGGCTCGACGAGGCCCTGGGCAACCTGGTCTAGTTGGGGGTGTCCCTGCTGACTGCGGGGGGGTGGGACTAGATGGCCTTTGGAGGTCCCTTCCGGCCTGGGCAAGTCTATGATTCTATGATTCTATGACCAGAGGGTGGCCACCACGGGGCCACCACGCTCCCCAGGGCCACCCAGCTCAACCCTGCCTGGTGGGACCCTCTGGGGCATTCCCCACCCCGTGCCTCAGTTTCCCCTTGTGCTAAGAGGAGGAGAACGTGGGGATGGATGTCACCGTCCCCCCCGTGAGCACCCTGGTGGCATTGTCCCCTTCGCTGCCAGCTCCCGCCAGATCGTCCAGGTCAACACGTCGCTGACGGTGGAGCCACCGGCCATCAACGTCATCCAGAAGAACTGCCAACGCGGCGGCACCGGCGCCGTCTGCCTCCGCGCCAGGGTCTGCTTCCGCGCCGGGACCCGCGCCCGGGGCCAGCGGGACAGGGACATCGGTGAGTGGTGGGGACTTGGGGGGGGGGACAGGCACCTGGAGGACCCCAAGGTGTCCCTAAAGTATCCCAGGAGCATCCCTGGGGTGTCCCCAGAGTATCGCTGGGGTATCCATAGGCCATCCCTGGAGAAGCCCAAGGTGTCCCTGGAGCATCTCCAGGGCTTCCTTCCCAAGAGCATCCCCGGAGCCACCCAGGAGCATCCTTGGGGTGTCCCTAGAGCATCCATATGACAATCCTGGAGCATCCCAAGGTGTCCCTGGAGCATCTCCAGGGCTTCCCCAGAGCATCCCTTGGGTTATCCAAGAGCATTCCTGGGGTGTCCCCTGGATGTCACTGGCTTGGGGGGGGGGACAGGCACCTGGAGGACCCCAAGGTGTCCCTAAAGTATCCCAGGAGCATCCCTGGGGTGTCCCCAGAGAATCGCCAGGGTATCCATAGGCTGTCCCTGGAGCATCTCCAGGGCTTCCCCAGAACATCCCTTGGGTTATCCGAGAGCATTCCTGGGGTGTCCCCTGGCTGTCACCAGAGCATCCATATGCCATCCCTGGAGCATCCCAAGAGCATCCCAAGGTGTCCCTGAAGAATCTCCAGGGCTTCCTTCCCAAGAGCATCCCCGGAGCCACCCAGGACCATCCCTGGGGTGTCCCCAGAGCATCCATATGACAATCTTGAAGCATCCCCAGGTGTCCCTGAAACATCTCCAGGGCTTCTCCAGAGCATCCCTTGGGTTATCCAAGAGCATTCCTGGGGTGTCCCCTGGATGTCACTGGAGCATCCATATGCCATCCCTGGAGCATCCTCAGGGTGACCTGGGAGCATCCCTGGAGTATCCCTAGAGTGTCCTCTGGGATTCCCCAGAGCATTCCTGGGGTGTCCCTTGAATATCACCGGAGCATCCATCCACCATCCCTGGAGCATCTCAAGAGCATCCTCAGGGTGACCTGGGAGCATCCCTGATGCATCCTTGGAGCTTCCCTGATGCATCCTTGGAGCTTCTCCAGGGTGTCCCCAGCCCGGTGGGTGTCCCCAGGTGCTGACCCCCCGTCCTTGTCCCCCCCCAGAGCTCCGGTACAACGTGTCCCTGGAGGAGAAGACCCCAGGAGCTCGAGCTGCCTTCGACTCGGGCGCCCGGCGGCTGCTGCAGCGGCGCCTGGAGCTCTCCCTGGGGAGACAGAGCTGCCTCCGCTTCCCCTTCCACGTCCTGGTGAGAGGGACCTCCTCCCTGGGACACCGGGGGCTTTTTCCACCCCAGCAGCATAGGGGGGTGTGGGGGGGCCTAATGGGGACCCTTTCCACCCCATCCCAGGACACCACGGACTATCTGCGACCCCTCAGCTTCACGGTGAGGTTGGCCATGGCCGAATCCACGGGGCCGGTGTTGGATGAGGCGTCCCCCACCACCATCCGGAAACTGGTGGGTGCTGGTGGGGGTGGTGGGATCCAAGATCACCCCCCACTGTCCCCCTCCGTGGTGCTTCCAGCCTTGGGATCACACCCCGGCTCCTTCCAGATCCCCTTCTTCAAGGACTGTGGGGAGGATGATGAGTGTGTCACGGACCTGGTGCTCAAGGCCACCATGGACATCGCAGGCTCCAGGTATGGGGTGTCCCCGAGGTGTCCCCGGGGCTGAGACGTGTCCCTGGAGGAACCCCCTGGGAGGGATGGGGGGTCATAACCTCCTTGGTGGTCGCAGGCAGAGCCCCCACGTCCTGCGCAAGGGCAGGAGGAAAGTGGTGGTGGACGTGGTCCTGGAGAACAAGAAGGAGAACGCCTACAACGCCAGCCTGCTCCTCCGCTTCTCCAGCAACCTCCACTTCTCCAGCCTCGTGCTCCAGGTACGGGGCCATGGGGGGAGCAGGAGGGGGGTCTCCTAGACCCACATGGGCCCCCTCCCCAACCTCTCAGACATCATAGTCCTTCCAGCCCTCTATAGACCCTCCAGCCCATCCCAGGACAAAGATTGGGGAGGTCTCTCCAGTCTTATTAGATCCTTCAGCCCGTTCTCACCTCCAACCCATCCCAGGTGGGAGGTGGGGGGGTCCATTGGGCCCCATATGAGCCCCCCACCCATCCTGGGTGGGAGGTGGGGGTCCATATGGCCCATATGGGTCCCCCAACCCATCTGAGATAAGAGGTGGGAGTCTATATGGCCCCTTATGAGCCCCCCAACCCATCCTGGATGGGAGATGGGGGTCCATTTGGCCCATATGGGTCCCTCAACCCATCCGAGATAGGAGGTGGGGGTCTCTATGGCCCCATATGAGCCCCCTAGCCCATCCTGGATGGGAGATGGGGGTCCATTTGGCCCATATGTGTCCCTCAACCCATCCGAGATAGGAGGTGGGGGTCTATATGGCCCCATAGGAGCCCCCCAACCCATCCTGGCTGGGAGGTGGGGGTCCATTTGGCCCATATGTGTCCCCCAACCCATCCCAGGTGAGACAGGAGGGTCCTATGGGACCCCTGACCCATCCCAGGTGGGAGATGGGGGGGCCATATAGCCCATATGGGTCCCTCAACTCATCCCAGGTGGGAGAAGGGGGTCCATGTGGCCCTATATTGATCCCCCCCCAACCCATCCCAGGGTTGAGGGTCCATGTGGACCCCTCATACCTGTGCTCAGCCTGACCCCCCCCATCTCCATGTCCCCCCCCTCTGCAGGACACCAGCTCGGTGAAGCTGGAGTGCACGGCGCTGGCCGGTCACCGCCGGCTCTGCAGCGTTGGCTACCCCGTCTTCCGCTCACTGGCCAAGGTAGGGGACCAAGTCCCCCCCCCTTGA